TGAATTGAGTTTGTATGATTTTAAACAACATTAATATTATTTAGAACTACAACCTTGCTCAGACTTGGCCCTTCAGTTTGTTATGTTATGTTTTTCTGCCAGTTAACAGTAAAATTCAAGTTGCCAGTATACATTAGTGTAAAGAACGCAGGGTACCACAGACTGCATTTAACAGTTACATGACAGGTTGGATACAGTTCTTGTTCCAGCACAAGACAGATAGTCTTGAGGTGGTTGCACATGTTACTCTTCATTTTGCCATTTCTTTAGTTATTACTCTAGGATCAGGATGTTATCCTAGTCATCATGCCCATATTACAGTATTAAATGCAATTTACGCAAGATGCTTCCTTCTGACCTTCATAGAGCCCAGGCCTTATTATTGAGATCAGCCGGATCTAATCTACTACTTACGACTCAATTAGTCTGCCTGACATCCAGGCTCTAAGAGACATCAAACATCCGAGTATTTCACAAAAAATCTGGAGCAGAAAAAAAGAATTAACTGAAGGAGAAAAAAAAACCTGAGCATTTGCGTCACATGTTTTTAGAGGAAATACAGATTTGTTTTTTACCTTTGATTCTCTAAGCATGAAGAAAAAAGAATCAGGAGAGGGTAAAGATTTTGTAAGTCTGGAAGATGATGGACAAGTAAGTGGAAAAAGGGGTACATAAGGGGATAATGACAGAGCAGACGGAACAAACAGGGGAAAGGTGAGACAAAAGAAAAGGAGACAGTGTCAGCTTTGAAGGAAGGACAGAGGAAAAGAGACCAAACGAACACAGCAACAGGAAACCTTGCCCTGAAAGGCAATGGCCAGGACACAGGTTAAAACAAGACCACAACTCTTGTATCTCAACCTGTGGACAGTTTAAGGGATTATTTCAAACATTATAAAATTGCTTCTCCCTTTTTTGTTAATTTATAAAATAAAAGCATATATAAGAGGTTGGGTTAGAAACATGGAATTATAAAAATTTTAAAACGGGAAAGAAAACACTAGAAAATTACACTCTAGCCCGCTAAAACACCAAGGCTCATATTGATTGGCAAGCATTGATAATCGTGGTTTTTTTTTGCTTTAATAGTAAGCTTTGGTTTGCAAAATGCATCATAATGTTAGTTTAGTGAAGTGAGGTACTGTTTGACTGGCAGGTATCCAAAACTTTATGTAAAGATGCTAAATAGATTTTGTGAAGCTGAGAAGACATGGCATAGTAAAATGAAATTCAACATCAATTTAAAATCACCCTTTGTTTGCCTTGCACTGTGTGTTGATTAAAAAGTGTCATTTAAAGATCACTTTATCATATGCAAATAGTGACAGTAAGATCTGCAAACTACGTAGGAGTTTGGTTTCCAACCCTATGAATAAAAATAAATGTACATTATTTCGCTTTGTGTTATAAAACAAGAACAGCGGCATGTAAAAACTCAGGTGATGGGGGCTGACACCATTCCTCTTAGATATGAAATTACACGGTTTGGCTATGACATAAACTAAAGTCTGTGTTCCAATCATGCAAGCGAACACGCTTGTAGAAAACCAATGTAAGTAGTGCAGTTTTTCTATTACCACTTTTGATTGAGACAAAACTTTTGACATTATAATGACAAGTTGGAGCCAAAAACATCCTCTACTTCATCTTCAACAGTTGACATCTCTGAAACCCAAGGTTGATCTCATTCTCCAATTGTATAAATGCATATTGTAGAATATATGATTATAAGTTACAGTAGGTATCACATGGAAATAGGCACCCTTAATGAGAAACACAACAGCCATTCTCTGCACATAACCATCACACTAATTAATAGGTCCACTTTTTATCATTGATTTCATTCATGTTCAACTTTCACATGCTGTTAGGTGTCATAGAAATCCAAAATAACTTGGCAACAGCTGCATAAAACTGCAGATATTGATGTTCTTTCGTCAGACCTCTGATTGATCAAACTCTGGGGGGAGACATCATACAAGGTAGAAGCGAAGAGTTTGACTATGCTCTGAGTGTTCCTGTTTGTGTGAAGTGAGATGTGAAAAAGCTTTGATAATAAACAGAGCAGAAAGCGAGATGCACACATGCTTACATAATTCAAGAGCACATTGTATAGAAGGAAGTAGGGCTGAAACATGAGATTACCTTTTTCCTACCTTACCATAGAGTGAAGACAGTGTCATCTGATGGAGGTAAAACAAAGAGAGGACAAAGCTGCAGCTACCTCTCAAAATGACCATAAAAGTCACTCTTTAGACAGCTAACATGTTTCACGTTTTTGTATGTTTAAATAAGAGAAATATGTGGTGCATTTAAGGAACCATTAAATTCTTTACAACGTAATTTGTTTTTTATCTTGCATTTACAACTGTATTTAGAAGTACAAAACACAAGGATGTGACAACTCTTGACTTTTTTTTTTAGCTTTTATATCACACGGGAATTCTGCTAAATGTGTAGGCAACACAGTAGCCGGGCACATAATATAGAGTATTTCTTTCAGTTAGAGTAATCTCCAGTTCAGCCCTATGCTCCCACAACAATGCAGGCTCCAACACAACACAATGCTGCTATTATTAAGACACAAGCAAAGCTCTGCCGCTTTCTAGTCATTTCCTGACGTCTGGGAACACAGCAAGAGGTAGCCAGGTTGGGAAAGTTTGAAAGATTAAAAGGTTAAATCTGTGGTGACAAAGCAAGGATTAGAAGTACCAAAAATCAACTAAAATCCCCTGGAAATTATGTTGTTATTCTAGCACGTTGCGATAACCTAGTACCTAAACTCTCCCTAACAAG